GGGTCTCTGTGGCCAGAGGCATTCTCAGGGTGGGCGGTCTGGGAGCTCGAGCCCATGCTCCAGAGTCTTGGGGTCAGTAACACCTCGAGCTGGTGTTCTTAAATGTGAGCAGGTGTCTATTTGGCTCATAATCTGGACATACAGTGAACACGTCTGCACTCATTGGAACTTTCTTACTCAGAGCCTCTGGGTGAGCTAGAGCTACGTAGTCCAGTTAGGGTAGCCCTCAGCCACATGTGGTATTTAAATTAACATTAAAATTCCTCTGTCGCTCGAGCCTCATTTCAAGTACTCATTAGCCACCTGCAGCTCCTCCGTTGAACAGTGCAGACAGAAAACCTGTCCATCATCACAGAATGTTCAGTGAGACTGCAGTGGTCTAGAATGTTCTAATGTGTTCTAATGAGAGCATGTGGAATGTGGCTGGGTTCCATTCTGGCTTTTCCTGGAGGCTTCAGGCTGTCCCACTGCCGTGGCTTCCTGAGAGAGGAGAAAGCAAGCGCCTTTGAGGCTGTAAGGCTCTAAACTAGCAAAATTTCCTGGCACCATCTGCTATTCCTCTCTCGCTCATCTTTAATCTTTCTCCTGTTTTATAGTCCAACCCTGTGATGATTGATGCCAAAGAAGTGTCAGCTGCACACAGGGCCCGCTACTTCTGGGGGAACCTTCCTGGTATGAACAGGTTGGTGAGAGTGCTTGGGCCTGGGGTGGCGGTGGGTTGGTGTCTGCAGGCAGCTCGGCCCAAGGAGGAGGAGGTCACTGAGTGGGTGCTCTTGGGCACCCTCCCCTGCTGGCTAGCTTGCTGCTCTACCATGTTCTTCTGTTTCCGTCTCCTTGAGGGAGAAGGGAAGTCAGGGAATAGAAAATACTTGCCTGAGAAACCAATGGCTAGTGGTTGAAACAGGAGAATCACCATGCTGCTGAGTTACATCGTTGGTTCTCGTGCATTGGTGACGTATCTGGAGTCAGCTCGTCCTTGGTCTCCAGAGGTGAAGCTGGGGAGGGTGGAGTTGGGATGGGGAAGAGTGGTGCCCACAGCTGGGCCACACCTGCTGGGTGCAGCTTAGAGAGTCCTGCTTTGCATATTAGCCACACACTTTGTGGCTTTGGGTCCATCGTTGGGAGGATGTTCTTTATTTAGGTTACACAGAGAGAGAGGTTAATGTCTAGGAACGAAGATAATTTCATTTCTTCAGTGTCATAGTTGGATTATAAAAAGGCCCGCGAGGAGAAAGGAATTCTGATTGAGAGTCAGCAGTTCAAGAGCAGAGTGAGATCCACCTCATCTGGATATCTGTTATGCAGGGAAATATTTTCCAGAATGTTCTAAGAGTGGATTGTTAACTTTGCTGTATCTATAAATTGTTCACATCATCTAATCTGGCTTCAGTCCTCTCTCCCTCTCTGCCATTAGCATGAAGTTGTAGAAACATCCCAGTCTCATACCCGCTTTACAAAGCTGCTGTCTTTTGCGAAGGCTTATTGATGGGAAGGAGTCCTGTCTGTGGGATAGCTGACCTACAGACCGTTGAGTGCCCCCTCCTAGGTTCCCCAGCTGTACCTGTGTCCCGGAAGAGTGGACCGGGTTATGTGGTCCAGTATTCCATGGAGCCACGAACTCAGTGTGTCCTCACAGACCTGGGTCCTATGGGATTGTTCTCACCTGCTTCTTCCAACTCTAAAATTCTAGAACTCTGAGCTTCGAGGTGGAGCAGAGGTACTGTGTGGGGCCACGTAGGGGGTGTGTGTGCATAAGTAGGGCGGAGGCTGGAGGCGTGCACTTTGACCGAGGGTCCCTGTGGGTCCCATGCTGAGATGGTAGACTGCTGTGTGAAATATCAGAAAAGGTCAGCCCTAAAGGTGACGTTCAGTGATCTGCTCCGCTCTCTGAGAAGTGACACGTTCAGCGTCGCAGAACTGTGGTCTTCTGGGCATTGTGCAGAAGTTAAAGCTTTTTAACCTGTGCAGTTAAGGTGCACGCGTCGATGAATTTCATCCAGTGTACACCCATGCAGCCATCGCCACATTCAAAGATACGGAACATCTGGTCACCCCCAAAGCTTGCTTTGTGATGGATACTTTTTTTTTGAAAAGATTTTATTTATTAGAGAGCCCATGGGTGGGGGGAGGGGCAGAGGGAGAGGGACAAGCAGCCAGCCCCACTCAGTGCTGATTCCCAAAATGGGGCTCAGCCCCAGGACCCTGAGATCATCACCTGAGCCCAGGTCAGACGCTTAACTGACTGAGCCACCAGGTGCCCCTGTGACAGATACTTCTAGAACTCAGTGTGTTTTGTGATGACTGGCATAAAAGTCATTGGGTTTTCCTTCCTTTTTTTTTTTTTTTTTTTTAAGATTTTATTTATTTATTTGACAGAGAGAGACAGTGAGAGAGGGAACACAAGCAGGGGGAGTGGGAGAGGGAGAAGCAGGCTTCCCGCCGAGCAGGAAGCCCGATGCGGGGCTCGATCCCGGGACCCTGGGATCGTGATCTGAGCCGAAGGCAGACGCTTAAGGACTGAGCCACCCAGGTGCCCTGGGTTTTCCTTTTTGTGGATGGGTGGTATCTGCTTATTTGTAGATTGAGACCAACTGTGGAATTTAGGTTTAAGGATTAACGCTTGGTGTGCTGTCCATGGATGGCTGCAGTGTGTGTGCATATGTTCTGGGGGAGTTTGAAGGGGGTTTCAGTGTGTGCGGGTGACGACAGTCCCCTTTTACCTCTCCGTGTGAGTCCTGGCTGCTGGCTGCCTCCCTGCTGGTCTCCTGGTCTCTGTCATTACCTTCTCTTTCTGCTTCCTAGGCCGTTGGCATCCACTGTGAATGATAAGCTGGAGCTGCAGGAGTGTCTGGAGCACGGCAGAATAGCCAAGGTTAGCCCCGGTGCCAGAGCCCTCTCTCTGCTGGTGGGTAGGGAGAAGGGCAGACAGGGCAGGATGAGCCTGAATGCTCTCCAGGCCAGTGTCCGCTGCTGGTGCAGAGAACGCAGCTTAGGAGGTGGCTCGGGGTCATACACCTAGTCGGCTGGAGGGGAGGGCCCAGGGGAGAGCCTGGAGGGCAAGGAGAGAGATCAGAAATCCTTCCCGGTCTTCAGTCCCTCCTCGTTGAGCATCGCCTGCTGGTCCTGTGAGAAGCAGACACTTAAGAAGTCTTTGCCAAAGTCCCTGGATCTGCTAGGGCGCTTAAATGTTTTGGCCAGGACCTATTGCACAAGCCTTCGGGACGGCGCCTTCGCCTGTGATGTGGAAGCTGCATTTGTCTCTGGAGAAATCTCCCGGAGTGAGTGTATTGGGCGTCAGGTTCCATGAGTGCGGGCACCAGCATCCGGCTCTGCAGGCGCCCCTCAGTAATTTGGGATCCTTTTGCCTGCAAGTCACTACACATGTGCAAGAACCCATTCTTAGAAGACTTAGGAAGTTCAGTGGTGTGAGCTGCTTCCTCTCAAGTCCTTGGCCAGCGAGCCTGGACTAAGGATGGCCAGGTGACCTCCAAGTGGGAAGAAGAGCAGGGCAGTGGGGTCTGCAGAGGCTCGGGCTGGAGCCTTACCCCGGCCACCTGTGCGGACCAGGCCTTGTCCGTGTTTGATTCACCCATCCCGGCACGTGCCTGGCACACGTGTTAGATGCATGGCCAGCGAACGAGTGCTCATTCCTCTTTTCCTCTCCTCGTCTTCTAGTTCAGCAAAGTGCGGACCATTACTACTAGGTCGAATTCCATAAAGCAGGGCAAAGACCAGCATTTCCCCGTCTTCATGAATGAGAAAGAGGACATCTTATGGTGCACTGAAATGGAAAGGTAGTACCCGAGGCCATGTGCTGGTGTCGTGGGGTGTGTGGCGCGTGGCGGTTGCGGCCTCTGAGGGAGGGATCGCTGCCCCTTCCGGCCGGGCTCGTAGCTTCCACAGATACCACGTGAGCAGTGGGTCTCCCTGAGCATTTCCCAACAGGGCAGGTTCCTGGAGGTAGGGGGACACTCCTGTGCATTGTAAGACCGGGCCCAGGCTCAGAGGGGTCTAGGAGTGGATTCAGGGGGCTGTGGCTCCCAGGGGTCCGGCTAAACTCCCAGGAAACAGTGCAGCTCCAGGAGCTTCCTCCACTCGTGCTGCTCATTTCGGGAACTGTGCAAACCAGGACAGCACAGGACCAGGCGGGCCGTGCACCCTCATGTCCTGACTGGATGCAAACCAGATTCACGGGCTAGACGGCCTCCTGGTCCCCAGCGTAACTGCAGTTTAGCCAAAGCGACCCTTGACATACGCGACGAGAACAGACAGAAGCTTGGAGCTCCTCCAGTTGGGCAAGAGTTCGGCTCCTTTGTCGAGTTCTTGCTCTTGTGGGCTTGGTCCTAGGGATGCGTGTTTATTACGGATAGACTTCAGGTACCTGCTGCATCTCCGGAGGTGTCTTTCACTGATGCTAACTTTGTTTCTGTTGTGTGGCCACTCCCAGGCGGCGGTTGGCTTCCTTCCCATCAGACCCACGGCAAGTGGCAGGGTGCCTGAGTCGTGGTTGGCGATACAGGATGGAAGATGCAGCCGGATCGCACCCACCCGCGCTCATCCCCGCCCTTTCTGCCTTTTCTCCCCAGGGTGTTTGGCTTCCCTGTCCACTATACCGACGTCTCCAACATGAGCCGCTTGGCGAGGCAGAGACTGCTGGGCCGGTCGTGGAGCGTGCCGGTCATCCGCCACCTCTTCGCTCCGCTGAAGGAATATTTTGCTTGTGTGTAAGGGACATGAGGGCAAACTGAGGTAGTGACACAAAGTTAAACAAACAAAAAACACAAAACAAAACACCAACAACATGAGGATCGAGAGGAGTATCAGCACCCAGAAGAGAAAAAGGAATTTAAAACAAAAACCACAGAGCCGGAAGTACCGGAGGGCTTTGCCTTGCACAAAGGGTTGGACATCATCTCCTGAGTTTTCAATGTTAATCTTCAGTCCTATTTAAAAACAAAACCAAGCTCCCTCCCCCCCCACCCCCCCACCCCCCCCTTTTTTTTTGTTTTGGTCAAACCTTTTGTTTTCTACTCTTTTCAGAGGGGTTTTCTGTTTGTTTGGGTTTTTGTTTCTTGCTGTGACTGAAACAAGAGGGTTTATTGCAGCAAAAATCAGTAATAAGAAATAGTAACAATACCTTGCAGAAGAAGGGTGGGAGAAAAGGAAAAAAGGAAATTCTATAGAAATCTATATATTGGATTTTTTTTTTTTTTTACTATATATCTTTTTTTTTTTTTTCGTTGTTGTCTCTAGCCTGATCAGATAGGAGCACAAGCAAGGGACAGAAAATAGTGACACTCAGCGGCAGAATTCCCTCCCAGCCACTGAGCTGTCTTGCCAGCACCATTCCTGGTCATGCAGAACAGAGCCCAACTAGCAGCAGGAAGACAGAACACACAAGACCCTTTTATACAGTATTTCAGGTGCCTACCACACAGGAAACCTTGAAGAAAATCAGTTTCTAGAAGCCGCTGTTACCTCTTGTTTACAGTTTATATATATATGATAGATATGAGATCTATATATAAAAGGTACTGTTAACTACTGTACAACCCGACTTCATACTGGTGCTTTAAACAGCGAGATGAGTAAAAACATCAGCTTCCACGTTGCCTTATGTGCAAAGGGTTAAACCGAGGATGGAGAAGGGAGGCAGCTTGAAGGTGAATCGATGCCGTGGTGGGCTTTCTCCCCCGGTATTGAACAAGGTGAAGGGGGAGAATCCGGGACCCGCGTTCTCCTGCTTCTCCTTGCCAAAAACGGGGGTGAGGGGAGGTGGGTCGGACCGTGGAGAGCTGAGAGTGGGATTCATCCAGGCTCACGCAATAACCTTTTGATTTTTTTTCAAAAAGGAGACTCCCTCGGCAAGATGACAGGATAAGGAGTCTTCCTTCCCAATTTCTCACATTAGCCGATTCGAGGGCTCCTTGTGGTGGGATCAGAAATAATCCAGAGTGTGGGCAAGTGACCGTTAAAACCCCACCTGGAGCAAATAAAAAAACATACAAAACGTACTGGTGCTTTCCTGTCTAAGTCGCCTTTTGTGTGTTCTTTTATGAGGCCCTCACCATCCACCCTCTGTGCACAAGGCGGCTTCCGGCCCCTGGAATGTGATGTTTTTGGTCATCTCCAAAGGCTGCAGTTTTATACTGGGAGGCTGATGACACCTTTTGTTATAATTATTCTTATGGTTCTGGTTATAATTATGTTTGTTTTCAGATTTTTTCTTTAAGAAAACAAAAACCCAACCCCCCCTCCCTTGCGGTTTCAAACCGAGGTGCGGGGAGCAGGGTGCTTCTAAGTTAGCGGTGGCCCTGGTGCCCTGGCTCCCCACCCCTCGGGCCAGGTGGGCCACCGGGCACAGTGACAGCTGGGCGGCCAGGGGAGTCCCCGAGGCCGGCCTTCCGGGCGCGTCCCTCCTCTCTTCTTCCCCTCCTCTGAGTCGTGCGTGTCAGGGCTGGAGGGAGGACCAGGCCATCTCTCTCCTCGTGTGTATGATTGGAGTGGTGTGTATTTCTTTTCTAGTACTTGGTCTGATGATAGCTGGGCTCTCACCCGAGCCGGCAGCACCTGGAGCCCCAAGGGCACGGACACTTGGTTCCACCTCCTACCGAGGCAGGCGTTGGCGGTAGGCAGGGCCAGCATCGGTGGCTCCAGGGTGAGGGCCCAATGGGCAGATGCTTGCCTGGATAGATGGGGTGTAGATATGTGGCATATAGAGATATATATTTTATAATGGGAGGGGGGATGGCACCTCCTGGGACTGGCAGGGCTGGGAGGTGTGCCGTCAAGCACATGGTCCCAAGTTCGCATCCCTAGAAAGATAGGGCCTACGGTGATAGGCGCTATATAAATACATAGATAGGGTCATGTATAAGAAATATTACGTAGTGGGGAGCGGGGCAGGGGGGCTCAGAGTGCTGAGCCTCGGGTCCCACTGCAGACATAAGCCCCACACCAATCAGTCAATCCCACACGCATACACAGGAACCGATCTCTACCGATGTGGAATGGGCGCACACACACACACACACACACACACACACACACACACACACACAACCGGGGGGCTCCCAGCGCTCTTCTCCCCAGGATTCAGGACTTTGTGGCGTCGGCCCTGCAGCTCTTTACCTCTGTTGCCCTGATTGCAGGTAGACTCTCAATCCCAGAAGTTGCTAGGTGCTGAAGGCGGGAAGAGGAGGTTTTATCCCCGCAGGTGCTCTCCTCTAGCAGGTAGCATTCTATCTCTTTTGCCCCTGGTGATGTCAAAAGATTCTTCTGTTAGCAACCTGTGATACTGACCTGCAACTCTAGGCACCAGTCAAGTCAGCCCTCGACTCCCCCTACCTATTCTCCCCCAACCAAAATAAAATCGACATCCAGGTCTATCTTGGCCAGGGGGCTTCCATTGGAAAAAAAAAAAAAAAAAAGAAAGAAAAATGGGACAGTGAAACTCATCTTTTGAATAAAGTAAATTAGTAATTGGTGACAAAACTAAACCAAGGCTTTGAATCCCTTGCTCATTGCTCAGGAGTAAGCTCACAGCTGGTGGCCACAGTCTCCCACTCCTTTTGAGGTGCTTGGTCCTGGGCTTCAAGCTACGCGTTTCCTTGTCAGATTGGTTTTTAAGATCACACCCAGTTTGCTCCCTGCCAACTCTGTGACGTGGCGGCAGGTGGCCACGGTGGGCCTCCTCGGGGCCGGAGCAGCTAGGAGGGGGAATACCTCTGCCCCTCCCTCGTTGGAACCCCTGTACCTAACCCGTGGTGCTCACGCTCGTCCCCTCCTTCTCCAGCCGGGCTCCATCTTCCTGGCCTGGGTCCACCAGCACCACTCCAGGAGGGCTTCGGGGAGGAGGGGCTGCCTCAGGCAGTCCAAGGTGCTCCCTCCCCCACTGGCCAAGGCTAAGGTCTTCGCAGCCCCCAGCGTCAGGACCGGCTCTTCACGGGCCTGCCTCTGCAAACAGACTTTCCAGCTCTCCTGGCCCTCCTAGGCCTTTCGTCCACTGCTTACATGAAGGAGTTTGCCTTTCCCGACGGCCCAAGCTTCACCCAGGGGGTTGGTGTGGTAGCCGTGGAGGCGGCAAGCCTGAGGGCTTAGTGTGGGCTGGCCAGCTTGCTGGGGGGAGGCCTGCTTGTTGTGACTGATCCTGAAGAGTACTTGTTTCTCCTGGTCCAGCAACCTGACTAGGCCCCAGAATGGGCCAGATGACCGTTAGCAAACACCAGCTTTTCTTCCAGCCCACCCCACGGGCTTGGTCCCCCCAGTAGAACTCGGGAGGGTGCAGGGGACCTTGGGAATGTACCAGCTTGGCTGTGCCCGATGCTCGCAACAGTCTGCTGCTAGCCCTGGGTGGGGTGCTTCTGGGGACACGGATCTGGTCGCCTTCTAAAGGAGGGCTGTGCTTTGACGGAGGCAGGGTTGTGTGAGGATTAAGGAGGGGATCGTTAACACTTGCTGTGGGTGAAGCCAAGGTTAGGGGCGTGGAGTAGGAGAAACCAAAGAAGGCCCAGGGAAAATTCTGGAGTATGTCCCCAGTGGGATCTTTCTTATGAAATTTACCCCGGGAAACCAGGGCTTCTGGGGCCTGAGGAGGATGCCTCCCCATTTGTGGCAGGTGCCAAGTAGAAGGTGGTGCCAAAGAGATGGGTGGCTTTTGTCAGGGGGAGGTTGCCGGGGGCTTGTGCCAGGGTCACAGAGCCGTCGGCCGCCTGCCTGAGGAGGAAGTGAGTCTCCCGCAGGCAGCTGCTGAGCCCTGTGGGCCAGGCCTCAAGCTGGCTGGTGCTAAGCCCCTTCCCCGGGGGACTGGCTGCAGAGCAGTCGGCTGGGGGAGCAGCCGGTGAGGCCTGGGGCGGGGAGAGGGTTCTTGCAGTCAGCAGATCACGCCATGAGTGTGTTACTATCTGTTTTTCTCTCTAGACCTCAGAACCTTCCTGCTATTGAACATTCTTCTAGAAAGCAAACTTCCCCAAAGAGCGTCCAGGACCTCTTAGCTTTTGAGACAGGCCTGGGAGTGGTTGGCTGGTGGAGATGCCCGTGGGAGTCTTGGTGAGTCGCTAGGGTGTGGATTGGGACAGGCAGACCGGGCAGCAGGGAAGGCTGCTGGACACTGAACTGGTCTCTTGAGGGTCGGCTCCCCCTCCTCCCTGCTTCGCCGGTGGTTCTGGGAAAACCTAGATGAGAATACCCACCATCTCCAGCACAGGAAGGTCTGTTGCAGGAGCAAGGGAAGGAGCCATCTGGGAAGCGTGTTCTCCAGGAAAACTGCAATCCAGAGTCTTCCTGCTTTTGACGATCTAGGTATACATAAAGTTGATCTCAGAGGAGGTTTTGAATTCCTGTCGCCATTCTGCTTGGCCAGAGGTTGCTGTGGCTTTTGGAGCAGTCATTTTTAAGAAACTTGCAGGAGTCCCCTCGAGCTGTGGATTAGGGCCTTGGGGCCTCGCCTGGCGCTGTGATCTAGAGAGGGCTAGTTGTTCCTTTTGGTCAGGGGAACAGCAGACCCAAGATTCTGGCGAGAACAGAATTTCCAGCCAGGCCCCATTCTGATCCCGGGAGGTGAGGGATCTGAGTTTGTCTTCGGGCATTGTCTAGTCTGGTTGCTCCCAGTGCTTGTGATTAGAGGTGACATCGGAGTTGTCCTTGGCAGGAGAGCTGAAGGCTTTCTTCCAGCACAGGATGGGGGGGTGTTGTGGAGGCCTGGCCCAGAGCTAGCACAGCCTCCCGGCCTGACCCTGCTGAGGCAGGGATTAACGACACATGTTTGCAGGATCTGGGAGGAAAGAGGGGGAGATTGATGGCAAGGATAGACTCTGAGGTTCTAGCAGAAGCTCTCGAATCTTTACATTTTGGTAAAGGAAAGCCTGGGTGTCTTTGGGAAGCGAGGGCAGCCCCTCCTGTCCCCGTGATGTCTCAGAGACCTGGCTGAGGGGGGCCTTTGCTTGGTGACCTCTTGCCCATCACGGACCCTAGGCAGTGGAGCTTCTGGGGCGGGAGAAACAGGTCTAAAGCAGCGAGCGCAAGGACACAAGGTCCCTTTGCTAGTTGTGACTGGCTGAATTGCCTGAACGGAGGCCCATGGACTCCTGGAACTCTGGTAACTGGAACCCCCCCCCCCCCCAGTCTGCTCCACCAGAGGGCTGCAGGAGGGCAGGCGGCTCCCCGCTCCCCACCCCAGTCCCGCAGCCTCCAGCGCCTGCACCTGTGGAGATGAGCAGGGATCGAAAGCCTCACACCAGTCCCATTTCACTTCCCAGACTGATTCGGTCGCAGAGCTCTAGAATTCAACGTCCAACCAAAATGCCGAAATTTCTTAGAATACGCAGAGGGAGGAGGTGACTCAACAAGGTGCTAAAAACATTTTATTAAAAATATATATTGTTAAATTAAGTCTGCTGTCTGGACAATGACTGTTTGTTTTGTTTTCTTGTAGTGGAGTTTAAAAGAGACTATTATTTTACTCTGATATATTATTATTAAAAAGGCATTTTAACTTTGTACTTGAAAACTAAATGAGCGATTTCATGTGTTTTAGCTGAGGCATTGAAGTAGCGGGTGCTTACTTATTTGTGGGAAATCATGTATTCATACTGAAGAATAAACTCTGTAGCTGATTTGGTAATACCTTTTACTGTTACAGACGATTTCGCTTTGACCCCCCGCGGCAGAGCACTTTTACTCCACATTCCACGCAGCTAAATGCAGGACTTCCTCCCCCGCCCCTCCCCCACCCCAGCCTTTCTCTTCAGTTCCTCTTTTTTTTTTTTCCTTTGGGGTTTTTTTTTTTTTTGTTTGTTTGTTTGTTTGTTTTCCTGGTTCCAGCATCCTTTCACCACTGTATTTTTTTTTTAGGGTTGCTTCTCTATTTATTGACAATAATAATGTACATTTCACAGTCTGGTTCTGGGACATCCAAGGAGGGGCGCGGGAGAGGGGGCCCCCCCACCCTGAGCGGGTCCCCAGCCCCGTCCCCCGGTGTTCTGTTGTATCTCTGTGTAAGTGATGCTCGTGACATAGCTGTTTATGAAATAATTAAAGAGGTCAATGCGTACAGCAGATGTAGAAAGTCTGTCAGTTCCGCCTTCATCACATTTTTTTTGTGCCCAGAAGAATATAATAAAGCTCCTTTCTAATGTACTTGTGCTGGAGAACACTTGAATAAATGGACTGTTTTTGTGCAAAAAGAAAAACGGAAAAAGCACCGTAATAATGTCCTTTTGTCTTGCGTCTCCTCCCCCCCCCCCCCCCCCCCCCCCCCCCCCCCCCGCCCGACATGACTGTTCACAGCCTTCCCGGAGGGGTCAAGTGCTGCCCAAGTGGGGAGGGACTGGCATTGGGTCCAGACAATGCAGTTTCTCCCTTGAAAATATCACCTGCGTGAGCATTAAATAGGGGCTGTAGACTGGATGGAAAAGGGACAGTTTTGTCAACTCGAAGCTCCAACATAAGTTACGGAGGGAGACGAGGTCGCTGAAGGAGCAAATTCTGTCCTGGGCTGAGGGGTAGGAGTTTTCAGGCTGGAGCCGCGAGATGGGGGGCCTCGTGCCAGTGCCTGGGTCAGACGGGCACTGTTCCCCTCCCTAGGGGGTTTCTGGGAGGTAGACAATCTGGACAGTGCAGGGGCCCTGGAACAGACTGAGGCATTTGGCCTAAAAAAGAGAGAATCGAGAGATGTTTGCAAACACTGACAGGGCAAGGCCGAGGGGCTGGGATTGTTCTGGGTAGTTCCAAAAAGCAGGCAGAAGTGGGGCCAGTTTGCAGGAAGTCAGTCCATTTCAGCTCAGCTGAAGATAGATCCTTCTTGGCCCCTGGCCAGCAGTGCATGGGGCCTCCGGGAATGGCAGTGAAGAGGTCCTGGGCAGCCATTTGGGGATACTACTGGGCTTCCTTGAAACCCCGAGTCTGGGCTCCTCTTGCTGCCCGGCCCCTTCTCAGAACTGTCTTGCAAGTGGACCGTGCCTTATGGCTTGAAGAGTCCATTCGTATGCAATGTCCCCTTCATCCTCACAATTCTTTGTCTATGAGTCACTCAGTGACTCCCAGTCTCCACCATCTAAAAACCGGAATCTGAACACACATAGGAACAGGATCTTCCTGCCACATCTCAGCTCTAAGACCCCGGCGTTTGGTGTGGCATTTCTATCTCCTAAGTGCCAAGCAAGTCCCAGCCAACGGCTGCTTCCCCTAAGGGTGGATTATTCAAGGTTTCTTTCCTGCCTTAGACTTTGGGAGAGGTTTAGGACTGCACCACTTTGTTGGCTGCTTTGAAAGAAATCCTAAAAGGGAAATTTGAGAAAAAGGAGAAAATAAGCTTTTCTCATGGGCACTTTTCTTTACAAAATTGTAAATGTGCATTTAACTTTTGTCCTACTTTTTTCTCTATTTTTCAGTGTTGATGTAGAATGCTTTTTTTTTTTTTTCCCTCAAATGGCTGCATGGTATTTTCTTGTTGGATATCTGTTTCTATATATATGCATTTTATTTTAGCTATAAATAGAGCTGTAATAAATATCTTTATGTGTTGGGTTTTTTTTCCCCCCTATATTTTGTGTTTTTTCTCCTTAACTAGATTCCCAGAAGTGAGATGTACTGGGACAAAGAGAGAAAGATTTTGGCTGGCTCCTGACACATTTGCCTGATTTCCTCCAAGTGGTCAGCAGACCTGTAGTAGATCTTCAGCTCTGAGGCTCTCAGTCCAGAAAAAACAAACATAGTCCTTAGTTGGACCAACTCAGGAAAGTGTTAATCCCGGTGGGGAAGTGAAGGCTCAAACATCCCCCCCCCGCCCCGAAAAGCTAGAAATCTGTAGCAAGAAGCTGGAGTAGAAACATTGGTCACTAAATGGTGTCCACGTGGAGGAAGCCTGTGGGGGATGGAATGCACGCCGAATCTTTGAGACTCGGGTTCCAAGGCTAAGGAGAAATGGCAGGATGTCATCAGTATGGAGCGCCCCAGTGTCATCTGAGCTGGATGGAGATAGGTGGTATGGCCAGAGCATACAGGAAGAAGCTGCGGTGATCATTCCATTAGTAAAAACCATCTCGTGAAGTTCCTGCATTTAAACAAGGTACCATTTGATGGTGGAGGAGTAGGGAGAGAGAGGGAAGGGTCAGGGCTGGGCAGGAGTGAGGTGACAGGGCCCACAGCCCAGTGGGACTGCCCAGGTGGGTCTTCCCTGGGGCGGGTGGAGACAGTGCACACCACCAGGCCCAGGCTTGCTGGTTCAGGAGAGACTTCCTCGGACTCAGCAAGATTGACGTGGTGAATGTGGGGTGGAAAAGAGGAGGGAGGGGGACAAGAGGCTGTCTGGGAGCTGGCTGGCTTGGGGGGGCCAAAGGCATAGGCCAGAGGTGGCAGGCACGGGCAGTGGCGGTCCTTCCTGGGGGAGGTGGGTGTTAGGTGGGGGGCTTCCATGAAGGGAAGAGAGTATATGTTGAAGATGGGGGCATAAGGAGGTCACATCCAAGGGGAACAGGGCTCCCCTGTGATGGGCTCCTGGGATCACCCCCAAAGCTCCCTTTCTCTTTGCTTCCAATACACTTTAAAAGAACAAGGCCCATTCACTTCAGTTGGCATATTTTGCTCCTCTCTGCTGGAATCCTAGGGCGGTGCAGCTGGGTTGGGAGGAAGGGGCCTGGAGGTTTGGGGGTTATGAAGTCCCAGGTGCCCTAAACTGTATCAGAAGAAAGACAACAGCATTTAGAATGCTGGGATCCGAATCCTGTGTGACCTGGGGGGCGGGGGGGTGCGGTTAGCTACCGGTCTTGAGCTCAGGCTTCTGGCTAGAAACCTGGGTCTTGTCTTTTGTCTGTCAAGCATGGGCTTCTGGCAGGTGTGGGAGGAAGTTTCGGGGCCTGGGGAGGCAAGGAGCCTGGCCTGTGGAGACACGCTGCCACTTGGCCCTCTCTGAGCCCAGGGCTTTGGCCAAAGTGGGTACGTGTGGGTTAAGGGAGGGAGCCCGAAGCTTCTCGGAAGCTTTCACTGAGGGAAACACAAGGCCCCCGCCCCTTGCTGCACGACCACCCCTTGCCTGGCCCCAGCTTGGCTCATGTAACAGTGCCAGGAGCTGTGTAGGTCACCTGGGTTCTGCCTGGCCCGGTGTGAGGACTTCTGTGATCTCCCTGTCCCTTCCTTCCCAACCTGTCCCTGCTCCTGGCTCAGAGATCTCCCTCCACTAGGACCACCTTTGTCTGGCTCTGAATCCCGCTCTGTCGTCCTGCTTGGCCATGGCTCCTGAGTCTGGCACCATTAATCTCTCTGTTTTTCCCTGAGCATTTCCTTAATGGCACCATCGATCTTAAAACACACGTGCACACTGTCCCTTGACCTCCTCCAGATGCCCTATTTCTCTGCTCCACTTTATAGCAAAACTTGAAAGCCCTCCTGAGATTTGAGGACTTTGCTTTTGTACTCCCATTCTCTTCCATCTGCCCCAGCGGGGCCCACATCCCCCCCAACCCATGTCCCTTCTCAGGAGCTGGGGCCCGGGGGCCTCTCTCCTCCCTGAAACGTCTTCTTCCCGGGGCTCCTGACATCATACCCCGTGTCTTCTTACCCCCTGGCTTCCTTGACTCTTTCCTGTTCTCTGCATGTTGGAGGGCTTGGGGATCCCTCGTCTGCTTTCACCCCTGATGTCCCCCGAGGCCCAGGTTCTCCTGTCCAGCTGCCTGCTTGGCCTCTCCACTTGGGTGTGAAACGGGCACTTCAGACGTGACCTGTCAAAAACAGAACTCTTGGGGCGTCTGGGTGGCTCCGTCGGTGAAGCATCTGACTCTTGATTTCGGCTCAGGTCATGATCTCAGGGTCCTGAGATTGAGCCCTGTGTCGAGCTCTGTGCTGGGCATAGAGCCTGCTTCAGATTCTCTCTCCCTCTGTCCCTCCCCTGCTCTCTCTCTCTCAAAACCAAAACCAAACCAAACCTCCCCCCTAAAACCCCAGGACTCTTGGTCTCCTCCCAGCTTGCTCCCATACTTCTACGTCTTAGTAGCTGGCACTTCGTGTCAAGGACCCTGGGGCTCATCCTCGATTTGCCTTTCTGTCACATCCCACTTCCAGCTCGCCAGCTTGCTCTGACACACTCACCTCTAAATATACCCTTATTTGGGCCATTTTTCACTATCTTACTTTTGCAGCTTTTCCCCAAGTCCTCCTCATCTGTCCCTGACTGGTCTCTGTCCCCATCACACCACAACAGATCTCTTTGCTCTGTTCCTGCCCCTTCCAGGCCACCCAACACCCAGAATAATCTTATTAAAAATCAAACCCTTTAAAAACCCATCAGCTGTGTGCCCCTGCAACCAGGATCAACCCTTCTTGCCCCGGCCTGCAAAGCCCCACCTCCTCAGACGCTCCAGCCGCCGGCGTCCCTTCCCTGGGACACGCCAAGCTCTTTCCCATCACAGAGCCTTTGCACGTGCTGTACCCGCCAACCTGGAAATCTTGCTTGCCTTTCTCCTCGGCCTCTTTCCCCTCATTCAGGTCTCAGCTCAGAGAAACCCCGGCTGACCACTGTTTCTCCAGTACTTCTGTGCCCGCCCCTTTCAATTGTATGTATTTTCTTTGTGGCTCTCACCGTCTGGACTTCTTTCTCAGGATTTGGCCTACCTGTGTATTGAGGAAGCC